TCTCTTGGGCCCAGTGGGTGAACCCACATTGAAGGACATTTGGAGGCACAAATCAGACTATAGGCAGTGTGTGCGTGTGTGTGTGCGTGCACATGTATATATGTACATTAAATTGGGCAGGGGGAGGTGTGGATAAGGGAGTGGATCTAAATACAGTAAAACTATATTACATGAAAATTTAAAGAATTAAAAAAAAATAAAAAAAGCCAGGTTGCTAGGAACACAGCAAGTGTTGTTTGGAGATGCAGCTCTACACCAGGGCTACTGGGGGGCGGTGGAGGGGGTGTCCTCTGTACTTTCCAAAGTAGGTTCACATCCATCCTTTCATTTGGGCAACATATCTCCTTCAATCATTAATAAGAGGTAGACAGCATGATTCTCCTTTTAGAGACAGAGAAGCAGAAAATTGAAGAAATTTATAAAGCAAGAATGAAGTCCTGGAGTGAATCTGTGGTTGAGTTGATTTCTGATTTGAATTCTGTCTTCTGGCCCAGAGCTCTACCGTTCAACTTGCCTCTGTCTTCTGAACAGGCCACTAATGAGGAGAGCTCCAATCTGCCTTGATTTGGCTTTGGGTTCAGAGTGGCAATTCCACAGCACTAACCCCAGCCCAAGGAAAAGAGGGATTCAAAACTACCAGGCTAGGGGGCAAAAATTACAAAACAGCTTTGATCCTGTAACCGCTTTGTAAAGTAGTGAACTTTGACTTCTTGTCAAACGGTACGAATGCCATTTTTCAGATAGTGTGGAAGATTTGATTGAATGATGCCTAAGATCCTTTTCGATTCTAGAGTCTATGACTCACCCTCTCTCACTCCATTTGATTGTCAGTGGAACCAAAGCAGGGAGGTTGAGCAGTCGGCGGTGCTTTGTGCCTCACTTACACAGGAGGGCTCTCTTGGTGCTCAGGAGCTCAAATGCAGCAGTGTGGGTCAAAGAGGTAGAAGGTTTCCTAACCCAGTCTCAGATACCTCAGAAACATTCATCTTTCTTTACCTGCTTTATCTGAGGGGAGGAGGGTGGAGTAGGGAAGGCATTTATAAAGTACCCTTCCCCAGCCTTTGAAGAACACAAAGCCTGTAAAACAAATGCAAGTCCTGCCAAAAGTCATTATTGATTTTAGCAGCGAAGCACCCAAATTTCTGTTGAAAAGTCTCGGAAAAGGACCTGATGGCATCAAGGCTGCTTCTACTATTTGAAATAAAAGCACCAATTTGGTGACAATGTTCTATCATAATTCAAAGAATAACAGCCCCCCACCATGCACCTTGGCATAAAGGCTACTGCTAACTGGGGAGTTCAGCCTATTAGAATTTTCCAACTTCCACTTGACATTTAGCCAATCTCATTACTTACTTTGAATATTAGGAACTTCACAGATATGACTACAATTTAAATCTTTGGATTTTAAAATGATTTTATATATTTATTATTGGGGGGCACACATTTGGAGGTCAGAGACAACTTGAGGGAATCAGTTCTCTCCATCATCATCCATCTTGGGTTCTGGGGATTAAATTCAGTCGTCATGCTTGTGCTGCAAGCACCTTAACCCACTGAACCATCTCGTTGGCCCTCCATTTTGGACTTTTTGTTAGATGGCTTACAAGTGTTCTACTAAGACTCATTTAAGAGTTAAGTCATGGAGGACCTCTTGTGCTCATTTTCAAAATTGTATAGGACTATATATTAGACAAATAGTGAATTGTTTAAAAGTTACTGACAGACTAAGAAGCTTATCAAGATAAATATTGAAAAGAACTATAAATCCTGACAATGTGATTTTAATTTGACAGGCTACCTAGAGTTAAGTAGCATGGCTGCATATGTTAGACTCTTACTACATGCTAGTGGCATGCCACATGGTTACAGTCTAGATTTTCTTTTTAAGGAAAAAGATTGTTTAAACAAAGAGGTTTCCCAATTTGAAAGGTGAGACTAACACTTCTGAACCTAACAACTTGGTAGATTTCCCTTCCACTTATCTGATGATTTTAACTGTGAAAGAAAAGGGTTTTAAAAGAGACATTTGAGTGAATGAAGGCTCTGTAAGTGTCCACAAGGGTACCAGGACACTGAGAACTGCTTCTAAAGAGGGCAGTGAGAAGGCGCCCCTCCTCTTATTCAATAACCATGTTTGTGATGCATCTGCATAATCTAACCATGCATAAATTAGTATGTGTAATACAACACTTATTTGCATAATAATAGCAAGTTAATAGATGCTTAAAGAGCAGAGACCAACACCACCTTTAAATCAGACATGCCTCCAGGCACTTTGGCCTGTTCAGACCAAGATGCCAGAAAAACAGTGCGCATCAACCAGAGGAGAACATTCAGTCCTTCATTTTTCATCCCTCTAGACATTTTGCTTCCTGCCCCCTAACATCGGGGAACCATTTGCAAGCCATAGGATAGCTTTTATATTTTAAGTGCTAGCATTCTCTCTAGGAAAATCCAAAAGCAATGGTACAGATTAGGGTTTGTAAAGCTTGGTAGTGGACTATTTGTGGACAGGAAGAAGCAAAATCAAAAAAGAGGATGTTCACAGTCACACACATATAAACTGGGGGCCTATTCATCTGGCAAATATAATGACCTGGGTTAGGTATTTTCACCCCTCATCTTAATCCTTTAACTTAAATAATTTTAACTGAATATATCCACAAAGCTCAGAGTATGAAGAAAAGGCTGGGCCCCTCCTCCAGCCTGGATATGATGAGCATATGGTACTGGGCCAGGATAAGAGACAACACCTTGAATCCCACAAAACATGATGATCACAGTCAACCTTCAACAAAGAGGAAAATGTCTGGGGTTTAAAAAAATCAAAATCAATAGAGACTTCTAATGACTCCTTTAAGATATCACTTTTCAATTTAACAGGACAGATTTATTTGTATGTGGTTCAAATGTTCACAAATCATTCCCTGTCCCTTCATACATAGGAATGAATGTCACAGTGGCAAATGGCAGTAATGAACAATCTTACCTGAGGATATGGAAACCTCCCAAGAGCAAGCTGGGAAAGGAAATAATATTTGTCTAGTTATAGATTTGCATGCAGGGCAGATCTCCTTAAGATAGACAAGTACTAAATTTCAGAATTGCATCTAGCAAATACAAAACAAAACAAAACAAAAACCAAAACCCCGACTCTAATGCAGGAACTAAATTATTGCTGTAATTACATTATAAGCTGTATTTAGAATGGACATTTTTTTTTTAGAATGGACATTTTTAATTGGGCAGTACTGCATCCCTGATTAAAAATATTCTAGTTTTAATAACTAAACACTACCCTCACAGTTTTTCTTAGTATTCTCAACTCTGGAAGCATTATTCACACTTACATGTATGTAACAGTTTCTTTCAGCCAGAGATGTAGGACTCTCTTGGTTTTTTCTCTTGGAAGATGCAACATCTATCTAAATGTTCTACAGAGCAGCTCTGCACAGCTGCAAGTCTGAATGAAGGGTTGCAGGAAGTGCGAATGGACTGATGAGGAAATTGATACCTGTATTATTATTTTCACCCACTTACTCCTTCATCCCTTTCCTGTCAGTTGGAAGAACCACCACTGGTGAGGAATGGCCATGGAAGACTGTGAAGGTGACCTGGGGGCCTCAGCCTGAAACGGGACAGTGACTCCTTTGTGCCTCTGCTCTGGCTTGATTTCTTTACTGCTCTTTGTTTCTGGGCTAGTCACTTACTTTTGAACTCTGGATCCTCATGTGTAAAAACAAAAATGACTCAGCTAAGAATAAGCTCTATATAATGTAAGATCAATCGAACGAATACAACATAACCTATTTAAAGAAAACAATGGCAAAGATTCGCAACTTCATAATGTGGCCTGTCCTCAGTTCTAAACCCCTTCACATATATCTGTAACTGCCTCTGAAGTAGAATCAGAACATCAGGAAAGCTGGAGAGGATCTGAGAGCATCAATCTACTACACAGATAAAAGTCCCAGAGTCCCACTGAAGAGGTTCTCACATGGTTAGTCAAGGAAGCCCAGGGATGGACCCCGAGGCTTGCTTCTTAATCTGCTGTTCTTCCTACCAAGAGCATCACATGTGTTCTGAGATTGTGAGGAGTTGCATGCTTATTTCAAAGACTTGTCAAATACTTTGGAAACTCCTCTTTCAAAACTGCCTTTAAAATTATTTCATGAAACAGAAGAATACCTCCTTCACTGGATGAGAACTGCAGCCTGGACTTGAAATGATACCCCTTAGCTTGGTGATACAACTTTTCTATAAACTGATACATGAATGACCCAAGTATATTACCCAAACCTGAAGCTCCCTATAAAGAATAACTCTCTTATTACTTACTAAGAATAGATACAAAAGTGTTGAGGTTTTCAAAATCCTAAAGACAGTTTGAACAGCAATGGAATAGGAATAAACCATATGACCTTGTGAGGTGACTGCTTTGAAAGGGTCAACACTGATTTGACAGTGTCTGCCTGTGCTGCAATATCTAGTTAAGTTTCATTACCTTATACTATCTTACATATGCTAAGGAGTGGATAGAGTCTCAAGATATAAATTTATGCTATTACTATTTCTTTGGATGGTTTCATTAATCTTTCATGAGCAAATAAGAAAAACATACAGGATGGGGTCCAGGAAAGAGGGTGGATGCTCACCTAAATTGCTTTCAGAGTTTTGCGTGATTTTTGTCTGTTGTCTCTATGCTGTTACTAATCAGCGCTCTGTTGCCCCACTCGGCCCCCATAGGCTGTAGGTTTGTCCTAGATTTGGAAAGAATGGTGTGTAACTACCAAGGAGCATGCACACTGATTCAGGAGTCACTGTGGTCTGGTGCGGTGGGTGTACCATTCTGCACTGACCTGACAGGCAGTGACAGGTGACCAGGAGCAATGTCACATTGATCTGTGGGTTATGAATTTTACTGCATCTACTTTCTTCTGGGGTTAAAGAAATGGCAGGAGAAGGATCTCTCACTTAAAAGAGCTAAGCATTTGGTAACTGTTAGAGTACAATTAGAACATTCTACTAGCTCAAGTCCTTGCACAGGCATTGCAACATTCACTTGGGTACATGTTGAACACATCGTTGGAGACCATGGAAGAATTCTGCCCACACAGCTGACAAGCAGAAGAAACTTGCCTGCCATACGTACTTTGAAGAGCTAAACTACTTGGCAGATGCCAACACTGGCCACTGGTTCTTTTAGTTTAAAGAATTAAGAATTCTTAAGTGCTATAATTTTAGCACTCTGGAAGGCTGTGGCAGGAGGATTGTGAGTTCAAGGTCAGTCTGAGCTACATAATGAGACCCTGTCTCAAAACAAAAATAAGTAAATGAAAACGAACTGATAAATGGAAGACTTAAGAAAAACAAAAGCAGGATAGCAGGATAATGAATTCCTCTCATCTTGACACAAAGTCATCAGTGTTTAAGGAGAAGCTGCGCTCCAGCAGACAGGAGAACATTGCATGCATGCACCTGGTCCCTCTGTCATATCGGGCTTTGTTTCCTGTGTTTTTCTGACATCCAGGAGAACCTTAGTTCTACCGTCACACTCCAGGTGTGAGCTCTTTGGATTTACATGACACAAAAGGATCTCTTGGTCTTGACCAGCATGTACCACTGCAGCAGCAGCAGCAGCAGCAGGACACGCACTTCCTCTTTTGTGGAGCACCATCACAGGGTCGCTGTGAATTGGAACATCAAGGGTTCCAGTTCTACACCAGTGGGTGCTGCTAGCAGCATGACTAGGCTACACTGAAGGCTGCCATCTGAAGGTCCCTGCAGAGGAGGCTGCCTTCCATGTGTGCTCATCCTTCCTGGTCAAATGCAGCCACAGTGTTGTTTGTGTTCCATATGGTTTGTCTCTTGGCGAAGTGGAGGAAAATATCTAGCCAGGTCCTAGAACCCTTTATCAAGCTCTGTTAGGTGGAAGTACAAAGAGTGCTCTTAGCAGACGGCTGCACGAAGTTCTTTACAGTGCTGTCAAGAGTCACAACATATACAGAACCCTCACTGGGGAGGGAGCGCATACACCATGAACATTTCAGACAGATGGACCTGGGGCCATTCTGTATCTTTTACCCCTACTGGTCTATTAATCTACTTGCATTTCCCCAGTTTTTATTGTCAAGGTATTATAAATTAGGAAACTTAAAAAAGAGAGTATGTAATCTTCTCTGAAATGGCCTGCAGATATGTCACTGTACTAAATGTGTTTCAGATTTAATGAAGCTTTAATGTCCTTTTTAATTTTGCCTGTTTCTGTATCACCAGGGGTCGGGCAAGGCAATCAGCACTCAAGAGGGTGGCTTGGTTTAAAACTAGGAAAAAACTCATTTGCTTATGAGTTGCACTGTATTTTCTTAATTAAATTTACTGAGTAAAATGGTTTAAGTTCAGCCAACCAATGACCTCTCTGTGTAGATTTAGATTTATAAATAGGTTAACAGTTAAAGTAAAGGGGGGGGGTGTTAAGGATTGCAACAAAGCAAACAGATTAGGGCTAAGTCAATAGGAATCCTTGCTCTCTCATCTTCACAAAAGAAGCATTTAAATGTAGGCAGCTTAAGTCCAGTTCATACCACAGTATACTGAAAAATGTAGGCACACATAAGCACCAGCAATTCATCATGACTCTCCTGTCCTTTTCATTCCCAGGAGGGGAGCAGCTGACTTTGTGAAAGATTTAGTACAGGTTAGCTTGTTTGGCAACTGGGGACGAGGTGTATATAGGTAGACAGGCGGCAAGGAAAGGGTTCTATTTAATGTTATATAAACAAGTATGCTTTAATTCCAAAGAGCTAATATTCAACAAATTGATGAACAAGGGTTGTGGGACACTTATTGTGTCAAAGGCAGGAGAATGTGTGAATATGTCCAAGTTGGGAATACATTGAAATGACAGTGATCACTAACACTCCACTGTGAAACCAAGGGTGTCCTTAGAGTCATCTGCTGAGCTTCGATTTGTCCAAGCATAACCTATAAATTGCTCTTGAGGTAGAAGCACTTGAGTATGCTGGATTTTTATAATGTAAATAGTAAAAATATTTGGGTGTGTGCACATGTGCAAGAGAGAAAGAGAGGGAGAGAACAGAAAGCTAGGATGTAAGATATTACAAAGTAACAAAAAAGTTACTTTTGTTGATAGTAAAATAATTACCATTATGAAACTATAAAGATTAAAAAACCCACATTACAGCCAGAGAGCAGTGGAGGCCACACAGACTTGGGACCTGTATAAGAACACAGGTGATCAAGTTACCTACTTATACTATTATCAACGTGATCACTTATACTAAAGAGCACTGGAGTATAAAAAAATTCTTAGTTTAGACATATTCTATGTTCCCCAGCATAACTGCAAATTGAAAATATGCATTTTCAATATAGCTGAAGGAAGACTTTATAGTCTGAAATGTTCTAAAACTTGTTCTTAATTACCTTGGCAACATTCTACACAATTACATTTCCATCTAAGGATTTTGCATTTAGATTGTGCACTGCGGTTGAGTCTTCATTTCATAGAAATGCAACAGCCACTTGGAACATTCAGACACAGTGAAACTTTAAAAAATCAGACTTAACTACTAGGTGACATAAAATTCCCTAGGTGAGGTTTCATCCCAAGACCAATTTACACAGGCCTAGAGAAAGAGCTTAAATCATCTGAAACGATGCTGAAAAGAGCCATAATAAAATTAAACACTTTAAAATCTACCCTACGATTTTACTTTCCTTCTCATGTATCAATTTCAGTCCGCTTATGGAATGGTTTCAAGACAATCCGAAGGATATAACAGCAATTTGCCAGTGTTAAAGTGCTTTGGAGGTTAAACTGACAACAAAGAACGCAGAAACACAAAGTGTCTTGAAGTAGGGTTTCAATTAAATGTGGAGGATTTAGTAATGCAGGACCAGAAAAAAAAAAAGAGTTACAAATTAATTTAATCTTCTGCCTATAGTTTGCAGCTGCACTCCAAAGTGTCTAGGGCTTAAGAACAAAGCCTTGCAAGG